TCCGTTTTGAAGTCGGCTCCTGCTTTCGCTGCTTTCCGCTGTTTGAGAGTAAGAAAAAGACTCAAATGCCTTGCGAAATACACCGCATCTTCTTCTTCCACCGTGAAGTTCGGCACTTCTTCCACCGTAAATTCCATTGGCTTTCTCAAATTTTCCGGGGGAAGCTAGGATTAGGATGGCCGGAGGCGGAGCAAAGGCGGAGCCGGAGGAAGAGCTTTCGAGTAGCAGTGGTGGCGGGAGTTCTGAGAACTGGGAGAGGTCAGAAGAAGGCATTACCAAATCCAAGAACAAAGTGCTGATAGATGGTTTTCTCGATCCTCTTCCTCGTTAGAAATCCTCCAACCTGCAACGGTTCTCTAGTGAGTTTGTTCCCATGGTCGCTTCTTTCCTTTATTTTTTCCTTCAATCCAGAGTTCTACCATATTTCATTGTAAAAGAAAATCAATCGGTCTCAAGTTCAATGCGTGCGTCTTTTTTTTTTTTAAATCTTTTGGAATGAAAGAAAACAATTTGGAAGGATCTGGAGATTGGAGCCGCTGGCTTTCTCTTTCGCCCTCTCCTCCCATCTTTAGTGAAAGTGAGCTACCGGCATTTTCTCTCCTGTATTTTTGCCATTTGATTGTGGGATTTAATAGGGATTTTGAGCTAAAACGGCTAAACGATGCTCGACGGAACTATTGAGGTTGGGCAGCCAAGGCCGGAGGCGCTTGGAGTTCTACGGCTGTATGGGAGGGATTTTCTTTGCACCGGCAAAGAAAATTTTAAAAAATATCTTTTAAAAAAAATTTAAAATTGTTAGTTGGTTATCGTATATATTTTTTTTTAAAAAAATATCTTTTAAACAAATTTCTTTCATTTTAATATATATAAGGGTATCTAGGTAATTTGTTTCCACACAGCTGCAGCACAGCAGCTCCACATTTATATCATCCAAACAAAATATACTATTTTCTGTACAGCAAGTTCAAAAAGTAACTTTCTGTACCATAACTTCACAACCTACTTTATCGACAGCTGCAGCTGTCCCAAACGCACCCTCAATGGAGAAAAAGGATTCATGTAGCTGATCTCACATAGTGGGATAAAGGCTTGATGTTATTGTAATATTTTCAGCTTTGCCCAGTTGTTAAAGGATCAACTTCAAATATTAATTTCACACACAACCATACAAGTAGTTAACTTGAGAATTTGTATTTTATAATGATTTTTTTATAGAAAATTTGAAGGCTTAATATGAATGAAAAAAAAAACTTTGTAAACTTTATAGTCGTATGTTTATGTATTATAATATAACAAAAACAACATCAAGTCTTTATCCTATTACGTGGGGTCGGCTACAAGAATCCTTTTTCTTCACTGTGTTCTGTTAAGAGTCAAATTCTCATGTTTATGTATTAGAATAAAATTTTAAAATAATTTTCTTAATAGTGTGCTATTTGAAATTTACTACTCGTATATCTCTCATAAGATTCAAGCCTTGTCAACTCCAGTTCTTGCAAGGACAAGTTGAAATAAAGTTATTTGCTTGCAAAGTATCATGCAAAAGTAATTTTGGTTTATGCATTTGAGAGTATTTGTGAATTTTTGAAATAGTTGTTCATTCTTTCAAAAAAGGGTTGAATAATTTTCGAAGCACATTTAATTCAAATATCATCCTAATTTTTGTCTGTGCAGCAATCTCAGACTTTGGTGTTTAGTCATTTAAAATATTTGTTGGAGCACATACGGACAAGTTTGGATTTAAAAAGGGGTATGCAATTTTTTTTCCTTCAAAAATAAAAGCTAAAATTAGAGAGATTTGGCTCATCTCTCTCTTTTAACCCGCACAACATTCTCGGATCTTAGTTTCAAGAATTTTAATGCATTGGTTGAAGCACATGCGAGTTAATTGTTGTCAATACTTTGATGTTTAGCACAGGCTTTTTGATGCATTTGTAAAGCGTAATTGTATGTTTCACGGTGCATTTGTAAATTGTCTCTGTATACTTGGTACATTTTTATTATACACCATGTTTTTAATGGACTTAAACGATACACTTGCATGATCTTTTGTGTGTTCACATAATGCTTTTGCATGTTCATTAGTATGTTTACACTATGCAATATAGTGAACATGTGGATAAAACTTTTTTTTCTTGTGATTTGTTGCATATGATAGTTTGGATAATAATCCGTGCTTCCCGTAACATACAATAGTGCACCGCTTTGTCCCATTTGAAAATTTTCATTCATCAAATGCATTGTTCATTTATAGGGCATACAGTTTGCTCATGGATTTCATTGCTTATTTATGCCTCATTTAGGGTATTTGTGCAATCCATGATGTGCAACAGGTTGAGCCATTTTGTTTGAAGATCATTCACGAGAACATAATTGTTTGCGACATATTAGTGTTTAATATGATAGTTGTTCACGTGAATACATTTTTATTGGAGTATACTCATGACTTTGCATTTATATTTATTATTGCTCACATTTTGCTTGATTGTGCGTATATTATGTAACTGGTTGCGAGTGTCAAGGTTGGAATTCCTTGCATTTATGTGACTATCATTTATTTAGAGAAAAGAGGGGAGAGGGGCATACTGGGGATCAAATTTTCATTTTTAAGTATAGACTATGCTTACTTTTTTTTTTCTAAATCTCAAATTCAATCTTCAAGCGGGTTCTTGAGGCTTTTTTGAGTGTTCAAGGGCATTCTAAATAGTGGTAGGACAATTTTGTGCTCCCAAGCGAGCTCCTAAGTTAGACATGAGTCCCATAAAATTCCAATATTGCTACATAACTTTCATTTTTTGAATCTTTATTCTCTTTATTTCACAATTTGTATTTGTTCATTTTGTACAATATATAGATCTTGCGGCCTATATAGATCAATATGTTCTTTTATTTTGTTCTTGTTAAGTTTTGTGTAGGTAAGGTTCATTGTGAATTTTGTCAGGGTCTCGGTGTCTTTCCCAAATGGTGGTTATTTTTGGAAGTGCTAAGCTTTCCACACCAAGAAAGATTTGCATCGTCGATATCATAAGATAATATAGCAGGGGGGTTTCCTATCTCATCACGTCAAGAAAGATGTGCATTAATTTTCATATTTTATTTAGAATTTTAAATGTTTCCTCTCCTTGTCAACAAAAAAACACGCATATATACTTTTTGTTTGCATTTTTTCATGATAAACTATAGGAAAATCGCACTTTACCGTGGAATTTTTTCATCGGCTTTCCATCGATTTATTTTCCGGCGGCCTTCCAGTGGTTTACGACGAAATATGCCAGAATATTTTTTTTTGCAGATTTTCCGGCGGCTATCTGGTGGCTTTTTCGGCAGCTTTTCCTTATTACATTTTAAATAAAAAATATAACACTTTTAACACTTTTGCCCTTCTAGTAAACTGGTTGGGGCTTTGAAGCATACTCACTTCGAATCCCATAGCAGGTGGGCAGGCGGGCAGCCAGGCTGGCAGCACGGGTGGCAGCCAGGGCAGCAGGTAGCTATGGGCGAGTAGTGCAGGAGGGCCGGGCGGCTTCATTTTTTTAAAATTTCGGCTGCTATGGCTGCTGTAAAACCATCGGAAATAAACCACCGGTTTTAGTTTCCTATGCGGTTTATGCCAGCAGAAAAAAAACCTTCGGAAAGCCACCAGAAAACCTTATTACCGCCATAAATTCGCCCAGTTCTACCGGAAAAGCCGCCAGTAATGACGGATTTTTCTGTAGTGATGCTAAGAAAAGTGTGCATTGAGTTTACTTGCTTCATCGTGAGCATCTTCTATAAGTTTCCTCTATTGCAATAAGAAAAGCGTGCATTGGTTCCTCTTGTCGTGTCAGACGCGTCGCATTTAGGATTTTGGAGATTTTGAAAACCAATTTTTTATACTTGTGTGCGTGAGTAACAAAGTCAATGGCAAAGCCTAACAATGAGGCGACGGGATTTGTGAGGGCGAGTTTATAAGTTTGCTTCTCTTTTAGAGAGAGAATGATGTGGTACAAGATGCCTCATCCAAGAGGAAGATTTAACGGCGTAGGATAACCAAAGAAATAGATGCATCTAAGTAGAATTTTTTTTGTGTGCCCTTAAGTAGTATTTCTATTTTGTATACAAGACTATATATTTGTGATTTGCAATTTGCGATTGAAATTGAAATATGAAAATATGAGATTCAAATTTTTGAAAATTCAAAATTTGATATTCTGGAGGGATCATGAGGGGTAATTTTTGATTGAACTTAAATATTATTGGTGGTTAAAAAATGAAAAAAAAAATCCAAACAGTTATGGACATTCTTCTCATAGAAAGAGGTGGTTATAATTTTCCAAAAGGTATATAACTATCTTTTTGCTCCTTTTTAGGTCGGCCAACCCTATTTCTCTCTCCAGTTGATTTTATTTCAATTTCAAGCATTGCATAATATCTATAAATATTATGGAATGAAAAATGAAAAGAGGTTGTTATGTTTGCAAAATTGGAGTTCCATCCAAGAAGATGAGGCTTGGTGGCCGGCTCTTACATAAAGAGATTTGGTGATCTCTTTAACGTTACCAATTTAGCGAGCAACAAGTCTATCTTATCTTTAAAAATTTTCTTTTTCTGTAGAATTATTCAAAAATCACCCCCTTGCAATCTCATACCAATTTCCCAGCATTCTCACGAAATTTCATCCAAATCTCCTCCTAAAATTGTTGGCTAAAACTAGGATGAATTTGACCTAGTTGGATTCTATCCTCTATTTGTTAAAATTCTGCCAGAATTCCAACACCCATACATATCACCCTTTCATTGCATAAAAGTTGAACATCACTCCATTCCAATCATTCCCACAGTTTACCAATCAACCCTAAAACTTTTGGGAACTCTTCCCAGCCCAAAAAAGCTAACCATCAAGGGCTAAATCCTTGGTGGCACCCTTCAAAAAAAAGGGATAGAGATATAGAAAGAGTGAGGAAGGGAGAGAAGGAGAGAAAGAGAGAAAGTGAGAAAGAGGAAGATTGAGAATAAGAGAGAAAGAGGAAGATTGAGAATAAGAGAGAGAGAGGAGAAGGGTGAGAAAGAGAAAAATAGATTAAGTGAGAGGAAGAGAGGGACAAAGAGAGAGGAATAGCGAGAATAATAGAGAAAAAGAAAGAAAAAGAGAGGAATAGTGAGTTAGAGAGAGAGTTGGGGGGAGAGAGTTAGGGAAAAAAGGGAAGGGAGAGATTGAGAGAAAGGGAAAAAGAGAATAAGGAGAGGGAGAGAAAGTGAGAAATAGGGAGAGGGAGACAAAGTTAGAGAGAGAAGAATAGATGGAAAGAGCAAGAAAATAGAGAGAGGAATAGAGGGGGAGAGGGTGGTTGGCTTGGGTTTGTGAGAGACAATTGCGACGGTGCTAGAGTTGCAGTAGGGTATGATGACAACGACGGCGGCGGATGCTGGGATGGGGAGAGGTGAGCATGGAGGAAAAATGTGTGCCTAAGAGGAAGAGACGTGTTTATGAGAGAGAAAGAGAAAGAGTGTGTGTGCCTAAGAGGCGGGGTCATGCAATTTAAGGACTTTGTGGATGGGTATGGCGGCGGGCAACATGTGTGATGTGGGCGGTGAAGTGAATAGGTAAGTTGCTTCTCTTTTTCTTTTCGGTCATCATTTAGTTGAAGTGATATGTTTGTCTTAGCAATTACTAGGAATGAATGGAGAGGGTGGTTTTATAAAAGCATCAAAATAGTTGTGAAGGCTAAGGATGATGATGATGTTAATGATGAAATATTTTCTTTGTATGTAGGATCCCAACAGTTATTAGTAAAGAACTTAGTTTTTAAGTAATTTTAATAAACGAAGTTAATAGTTTTGTTTAGTCTTTCAGATTATTAGTGAATGATAGCTTAGGGGTTTATGCGTAAGCAATCAATTGAATGTACTGTGCTACAATCCATGCTTTTTATGATTTTACAGTATTGAAACAACATAACAAATAACATACGTAGCATTTGATTCTTACAACTGTATGCATTTAAGCGAGAAGAGTGCATATTTAATGTTATTTTAGAAAAATATGGACATTACATAGTACCTTCATGCATACATAGGAATCCTTTCTTGGAGTTGAAAATATTTGATAAATCATGCTTTGTATTTCTTTATTATGTTATATGAGTTTTCTTTTTGCATGTACTTGATTTTTTTTCCTTGTATTTAATTTATAGATCTTGCAAAAGCGGTAGAACAGGCTGATTGCTACAAGGGTTTAGCTCTTATGCGTGGCTTCTTCTTTTGGCTGAAGGTATGCTTTTTGCTGCATTATTTTCCTTTGTAATCCTGGCCACTATCAAACTATGTTTCGCTAAGAACTTTGCACTTAAAATTTAAATTTGTTGCCGAGTTCATGTTAGCATAATTCTTTTATCTACTTGCATTGAAGACCTTAGTATTTATTATGGTGCTCAGAAGCTTCCTCACATATTGTTTTGATTTAGCCATCAACGGGTAAAGCTTAATCTACTCTCATTCTCCAATACTTTTGGTTGCCCTAAATTCATGTGAGGATGGGCAGTTAAAATTACTTATTTCTTCTTTAAAAATTCCATACGTACATAACTAGAACTAATTTGAAACTTAAACTTGTTTATTGTTCAAATAACAATACTAATTTATTACCTTTATATTTCATGTGTGTGCCACTATAGACACCCAGGTCTTTTCTTTTAGGGGTAGTGATGTTGTGCTTGCAACCCCAAAAAATGACAAACAATAAACAGAGCTGGCTGGATCTGTGTCTCTCGCTGTATAAACCATCATTTTTATTTCTTCTTTTACTTCCCAAATATTTTTCTGCTAGTACTGAAAAAGGAAACTATAAAGGGTAAATTACTTGGAAGTTTTTTGAGGTTTGTAACTCATTAGTTATACTTCGATCCTCTTTCTTATTTTCATTATTTGTCCTTACAACACTTCTTATAATTTTTGAGAGTAAGATTCTAGATCTGAAGATTTTGTCTGTGCATGAGAAATTTGATGTTATGTGTGAAAAAGTAGCTAGCGTTATTAAGAATGTTACAAAAGATATGCTTGGAATATCAAAGAGAAAAGCTCTAATAGTAAAAATAGTTGATAGTGAAATCAAAATATACAAAAAAAGATAAAAAATAAGAAGATTTGTTATAAGAATTAGTTTAGTTATAAAAACTATAATAATTGAGAAAGATATAAAGAGACTCGTAAGTAGTTTAAGAAAGCAATTTGCAATGCAAATATTTTAGCTTTTAAAAATTTATATAATAGATTAGATATCAAGGAGGGCGAAAGATTTATGTTTAAATTAGTCAAACAAAGAGATAGGAGTAGTTAGGATTTTGTTCTAGTGAAGTGTATTAAGGATGACGATCAAAAAGTGCTTTTATTTGAAGAGGAAATTTAACAAAGGTGGATGAAATATTTTGCTAAAATTTTCAATGAAGCTTTTGAGAATGTGATTAAATTTAGTGACCTTAGCACCTTAAATGAAAAGAAAGATTTTATTTTTATCAGCGTATTAGTAAAATCGAAGTTAAAGAGGCTTTAAAAAAATGAAGTGTGGAAAAACTATTGGATTTGATGATATTCCAATAGAGGTGTGAAAATGTTTAGGAGATGTGGGAATTTCTTGGCTTACTAAACTTTTTAAAATTATTTTGAAGACAAGATGCCAGATGAGTGGAGAATGAGTGTGTTGATTTTTATTTTTAAGAATAAAGGTGATACAGAAGTCTGTGTGAATTATAAAGGAATTTAGTCAATGTGTCATATTTTAAAACTATGGGAGTGAGTTATGGAGCATAAGTTGCGACATGACACTAATGTTTCTCAAAATTAATTTAGATTCATGCCATATAGGTCTACTATGTTAGCTATCCATTTATTGAGAGGTTTGATGGAGAAGTATAGAGAGAATGTGGGCTCCAAAAATTCGCGCCCCGGCTTCTCCGCAACCCCTTTCTTTTTCGGGTCATCGAGGAGAGTTTTAACGAGTATTTTCCAAGGTAAATTTTTCAGAAGACAGATTGAGTTTGTTGATAAGTCACTACCTATAGATTTTGCCTCTTTTTGTTAGGACTTTATGATCTGAGTTCAGGTTTTCTATGGATGCAAGCACCTATAGTTAATTATCCCTCGTAATGACAAGAGAGAACTTTCGATTAAGGCTAGCTGTCAAACAGATATGTAGAGGTACGGAGTATTTAGTTTATAGAAGGAACATGATTTGGTATTTGGAAATTTAACATTTAAAATTAGAAATTCACCACCTTACACTGAAAGTAGATGGCACGGGGAAATGATGATGAGCCCAATCAAGATCCCATGGTTCCATCGTCCTAGGCTATCATGTTCCCTAGTTTACTTAGTTAGAGGAGGTAGTCGACTCAACCTGTCTGAAGGATCCTTGCCGTCAGCCATGGGTTGTTTCGTCCAAAGATATCTTGTATACCTTGGGTGAATAATTTGTCTAAGGGGATAAATTTGAATCCACCTTAGCTAATAAAGGGCTTTGTGCCCCCATTGATTATATCTTATTGATCACATCTTAAGGATTTGTAGCCATTGGGGACATGTTTGCTCTGATCATGACCGTAATTTAGTTTTACCATTTGACGACAAAACCACCTTGTTCACAGGGTCCTGATTATAAATGTTTACATGTTGTGCCATTTGGAGGTGAAACCGCTAGTTAGAGAACACGTGTCACGCCCTTACTAGCAAGAAATTGTTTGAAAATGGATGCTAGTGATATTCTCGACTAGACATTGGCTCTTTGTGAGCTGAGGTAATTTTCAAATTTGTTCACATCGGCAAAATGTTGTAGAGAGGATGAATTTTGCTTTAAGCATTTGGTGGTTAATTTCAATTTTAAATATCTTAGGCTTTTGATGCTTTTTGAGTTTTGTATCATTGGAGTTCAGGAGGTATTTTGAATGTTTGGGGTCATCTCCTGTTGAGATCTTCTATCAACACGACCATCTTCGCGGTCTTTATGGGCAATTTTACTTTATCAGTTGAATATTGTCAACTTTATCTACTCGACAATAGAAGATCAGGTTCTTTGCCATCTTTATTCCTTTATCAATTTTTCTTGTTGAGCGCTTTGAAGGCCTAATATGAATATATAAAATGAATATTCTGGCCGACGCCGCAATCATATATTTGTTTGATAGCTAAAGCCGTGTTGACTTCTATCGACCCACATAGAAGGATTAAGCTCAATCTTAGATTCATTTCTTGACCCGTGTAGCATCCTCAGACATCACTTATGTACTCATAAAATTCTCGCTAGGGCCCATACGGGTACATGATTTTTGCATGCAGTTTGCATGTCACATTTATGTAGCAGTTATTTGCATGCAAGGTAGTAGTTGTGTGCAACATACTTGCAGGTTATGCATGCATGATGCATTTTGCATTTGCATACTGTTCAATTATAGTGTGTGATTTTGCATGTGTATGTGTAGCGCATTGCACACATTATATGTGTGCATGATGCATCTTGCGCACTGACTTGATGTGGCAGCGTATGATATGCATGTATAATGCAACTATGCCTCACTTATTTTGCTTGTATAATATGCTTGTATAATGATAATGTGTGCATGTGCAATACATCGACATGTAAAAGTGATACATTATTGTAGTGTAATGCATGTTGTGATACCTAGTGACGTGTTTGCATGAATTATTATGTCTATTGCAATGTATGTTCGGGGGGCATTTTAAAATATTTGGCGCTAATCAATTGCGCAAGCAACTATCATTTGAATGCGCACAACGTTCTATTTAGAAGCTTGTAGATGCCTTATGTCTGCTTGTAGAAGTGTTGCAGATCCGGTGGTGTGGCGCTGCGCTGAGTTTCATTTGTCGTGCTTCAATAGTGTGGTTTTACTCATTTCATCTTATGCATGTTACATTTTTCTTCAGCATTCAACCTACGGTACCGTACTTCAGCCTGTAAATATACTATACAATATATTAGGGGCCTTCCACTTTTCTCTTGCAAGCGAGTTGATTTATCCAGTGTAATAGCATGGCGTTGCAAATCTGTTGTCTCAATTTATCGTTGTCCCATAGTTTTTACTATTGATTTCCTGTTTTTGCTTACAGTTGAATCATATTATTCAATGCTTGCTGCATTGTGTATGTTTGCAAGGAACTTTGCTATGTTGGTTGCATGTTGTTAGGCATCACCCATAGTTAGACTGTTGTATGAATGGATAATCTCCCATAATGGCTTGCAGGAGCTCGTATACATTGCCAATGTATTATTCTTGCTTGTAGATTATATGCTGTGTGCACTATGGGCCTTCTACTGTCATATGCAGGCAAGTCGCAGGGAATGTAGATCTTCTAGTACTGCTTATAAGCAGTTGCATTTGCTACAATTCCTCCACACTCGTAGGTAGCATGTGGTGTACATGATGAACTTCCTACAATTGCTAGTAGGTGCTCGTATTTGTCGTGGATTCTTGATTCTTGCTTATGAACAATGTGTGCCTTTGTGTCTACTAGGTATTTGTCGTGCTCGTGGCATATCCACTGTTGCTATCCACAAATAGATTATATCAGTCATCATCGCTCACAAGGAATGGTCATATTCATCTACAAGTGTGCTGACATTGATTGTAGGGTTATCACAACATTTACCGCATATTCTTCATGCTTCACCCACGAATTGCAACTATCACGCCTCTTGCACAAGCATGAGCATGCACATCAACCGACCACCATTCATAAGTGATTATTTGTCTGTTTGCAGTGACGTTAGTTACATGCAAGCTGCATTCGTTGTAGCCCTCTTATATGTGCTTGCGAAAAGCTCTTCATGTTTATTGCATATTGGTTATCACCATTTGCAGGGGTTCATCATATTCATCATGCATTTCCATTTATTACTTGCAAGGGCACAATGTATTTGCCTGTGTTTTGATGTTGAGCATAGAGTGTTGTTGCAATATTCATTGCCTCTTGTTATAACAGCTTTTATGTGCTTTGTACGTGTTGCAGATATGTCGCATTTACACGCAGTTGATACATTGTGTGTATATCTATGTTGATAAAGGGCCAGCTATCCTCGCTGCATGCCTGTTGTTGCTGATTGTAGGGGCTTCTATATTTTCTTGCATGACTCATGTGAACACCACACATTGACTGTCGTCATTTGTATGCAATTTATTTAAGAATCTTTGTACATTTGCTTGCCATCAAATTATACATTCCCTCCCATTACATTACTTGCAAGGTTGAATGCGCTTGCTTGTA